TGTTATTATTGCACCAGCTATACTCGGGAACGGATCTAAGAGTGAGGTTAGGGCTATCAGGCAAGCTATCGAACAATATTGAAACTAAAAGAGGAGTCAGGCAAGGATGCTTGCTAGCACCTTTTTTGTTTAACTTCTACGTGAACAACCTAGTGGCCGAGTTGAGTTCCCCTGAACATTTTCCGCCATTAGTAGGTAATAGGAGAATCCAAATCCTATTATATGCGGATGATATGGTGCTCCTGTCAGCTACGCAAATAGGTCTCAGGAGACTTTTGAGGTCACTAAGTAGAATTTGTAAACAAGAGAAGCTGACAATCAATCACTCAAAAACCAAAGTGATGGTATTTTCCAAAAGGAAGCAAAGACACACTTGGAAATTGGATGGTCACTCAATAGAGCAGTGTGATAGCTTTAAATACTTGGGCTTACACTTCTCACATAATGGTAACTGGAAGAACCACATAGAGGCAGCCAAATTATCTGCCTGGAGGTCAGCGAAGTCAATCCTAGCCTTTGGAAAAACAAAGGGAGGTTCCCTGGTATGTCCCACAATAAAGATTTTTGCCGCTAAAATTTTACCCCAAATGTTATACGGAGCGGAAATTTGGGGGCAAGGTAATACAGAACAGGTTGAATGTATTCAGAACAAGTTTGCAAGAGCTCTTCTAGCCCTTCCCCCTGGGACCCCAGCTGCCCTGTTAAGACTGGAATTAGATCTTCCCTCACTTAAGGCCAGAATGCATAAACTTATCATCTCGTATGGGAAGAGATTGCTAGGAATGGAGGAGGAGAGCATAGCAAAGCAATGCCTGAGGGAGCAGTATAAACGGGGAGGATGGGTGCAATCCTGGCTAGCCTTGCTCCATCAGTATTTCGATGGGTCAATAACAACTCTAATGCAGCTGGACAAGAAGGAGATTAGTGATAAAATCTTTGAGATGGATGCAGCTGGCAATTTGGAGATTAGTAAAAAGCAAGGTTTTTCTACATGGTATCCCAGACTAAAGAGTGACCAATACTGCCAACAATATCTTCAAGATCTAACGTCTTCAGAGTTGAGGAAAGCCTTTACAGCCCTGCGCTTCCAAACAATGCCCTCAAACTGGCTAGAAGGGAGATACAAAGGGATCCCCCATGCCCAAAGGCTTTGGATTTGTGGCTCCGGGGATAAAGAAGATCTAACACACTATCTATTACATTGCCCTCTGTATAATGATCCCAGAAAAAATCTCCTGGGAACACTCCTTGAAGAAAGGGCAGCATGGCAAGAATCGGCCGTGATCGGTGACTTGCTAGCAGATTATGACAAAAATATAACACTAAAAGTAGCTACATTTGCAATCGCAGCCCAAAAGATCAGAGACAGAGTAGCAAAATCCTCGTTGGAGACCAGATAGGGAAAGGGAGATGGTTAAGGAGGACACATACTATTGTTAGGTTTCTGCCAGCAAAATGTTAAAGTTCTAGTTTTTTAAATTTTGAATGGGTTTTGGTTTATATTGGAATGTGTTTATAAAGGTTGTATGTTATTGATGTCATGGCCTATGGCTAGTGCAATAAACTTTATTCNGGAATGTGTTTATAAAGGTTGTATGTTATTGATGTCATGGCCTATGGCTAGTGCAATAAACTTCATTCATTCGTACTGGTACCCAGGTTGAAAATGGTCTTCTAGGTGAGTCTATTGTATACTTTTCTCTGAGGTTAACCAGCACACCATAGAATTGCATTGGAGGGCATAGCAAATTCCCAAAGAGAATACCTCTCAAGGAATCTTTATGTCCTCCAACATAATTCTATGATATGCTTATACCAAAAGTGAGTTAATTTAATGGTGCTTCGTAACATCCGTAACTAGTCATGGTCTGACTGGGAACACATCCTTCAGATGTTGGGAGTTTCCTCCAACTGGCTGCAGCTCAGTGAGATCTCAAGCAGGAGTCTCCATATTATCTACTGTCTGGTACTTCAGAGATGTCAAGTTCCAGATCTTCTTTATGCAAAGCATGTGCTCAGCTATTGAGCTATGGTTGTGCCCTTGTGATTGATTACATCTTCCCCAAGGTAATTTCATCAGGTATTGTTCACTTCTACTCTTCTTTCATTTTCGCACCATTCTATCACTCCCTGTAATTATTGCTTTCTGTCTTCCACAAAATTACATGTTGCAGTCAATAAAATACACAGTCAGTAAAACGTCACAAAGACAGCCACCAGATCATGAGTAAAACCCTTAACTGTATTACCAGAAGTGCAGAGTGGTAGATTCATTACCTCAATCCCATTTGATGAAAATGTAACCCCAATTCAGCAAATTACTGAGGCTGAGTTTAAGAGCTAGTGAGAGAACTGAAACAGGCCTTGAGAGGTTGTTTGTAATGTATGGTTGTGTTTTCAGGTGCTGCAAGTGGGCTGAGAGTGTTGGGGAATAGTCCAATTAGACAACACCAATAGCCTCAGGGTGGAAGAATACAGCAAGAAAGGAACCCGTGGATAAGAGCAGGGACCATGATGCTGGAGAGAGCAGAAGCTGAGAGTTATATTTAAGGCAGAACATGGACTATGAGAGGCTTAGAGGAAGCATTGGAATGGCTCTTCATATTTACTAGTTACCTGGCCATAGCCAGGATTTTGATTGGGGGGGGGGGGGGCTGAGGATCTATCCTAGCAAACCTTTTGTATTGTTATCCCAGTACCCTCATGCATATGGGATATATTGAGCATGGTGATCAGATCATGAAATGAATAAATATAACAGTTTAAATAATGTATCAGTAAGGCCTTCTCGCGGACTACCCTGAGAATGCCTGCTAGTTACCAAATTCTTTAAGAAGAAATACTATTGTTTGTTCTTAAAGTATGAAAGGAAGACTTTTATTTTCATCACATTTTTGAAAGGTATACAGTGAATACCTGTTTACAGTTTAACTTACCTGCGCATGTGGAGAAATGTTCTCTGTAGAATTTGCTAGGTTCTGCAGATAATTCTATGGTATACATCCTGCAGAACTCACCATAGAGTTGTATTGGAGGGTCTAGCAAATTCCTACGGAAAATATCTCTCTAGGAATCCCTGAACCCTCCAGTGCAACTCTGTAGTATTCTGGGATTGGATTTGGCCATATCCATGGTTTTAGGTAACCACCATCTGGGCTGAAACAAATTCCCAGCTGATATGGGAGCCTTACCATAATTTAAAAAAAAATTAAATGGGGGTTCTTCAGCATGATAACATGATGCCTGTAATCAAGTTACTGTAACTGGAATTAGTTAATGAAGCCTCCCCAGGTTCTTGCTTCTTGGAAATACTGTTCTGTTCAGAATCCTCTTATTCTTCTCTGAGGGATTGCGGCAGCATTTCAAGCTTTAAAAGATGCGTAGATGCATTTATCTGGGTTCCTATTTTGTAGCACAACTGAATTAACTTCTGAGTGTTTTGTTTTTAAACCGATGCTGTTCAAATTCAGGGGGAGTTGAGGGTGCAGAAATTCCAGTTCCAAAGGGCTGAGCTCCAAGAAAGAGAAAGTACAGTGTGTTTTGAATGAACACAAATGTGTGTTTTAATTTTCAACCTGACTTTCTTTGACAAATCTGATTGCATTTTGAAGCTGATGGTGCCATGGACTGAAATACATTTTTACAGAATAAAAAACCCTTTCATCTCTGGGAATTTTCTAGGTCTTAGGGGTGACTTTATGGTAACATCCAGTGGAAACAGTTCATTTCAATAGGGTTTGCTTTTATCCATGGTTTTGGGATTCCACTGTAAGTTCAGAAATGTATCTTTCACAGATACAGGGTTGTATTAGAGTCAGAGGGATAGAAAATTCAGCAAAAATTAAATTTGTAAATTTGCCTGGACACTATAAAGTTTTGTAATTTTCTCTTGCTGCTGTTTGGAACTGAAAACTCCAATCTTCAAGAAACTGGATTTTGCATCAGAAACTTTCTTCTTTTCCTTGTAACCTATGAATAATTAGCCACAGCCACCACTATTTGTGAGATTCTCCCTTAAAGAATTATTGGCATCTATGTACCCTTCTTAATAGGCATGGCGTTCTTATAGGTTGAAGATGCCATGATGGACGTATATGATTTCGTTTATGAAGATGTAAGAAGAAACACTTCCAGCACCAGAAGAGAGGAGCTACGTATTATCCACAAAACGGTGACTCATTCACATGTTTTTAAAAGGCAGTTGCTAATTAAAGTAATTTCTAGAATTAATGATCTCATTGGGAAACAAACTGATGCTTTGCTTCAATTGGATTCTTTTCCCATTTCTAAAGTCTAAATAATGTTTTGAGCATGGTCTACTCGAATTACTGAGTATTTAAGGCACATTGGTTTCTGTAGGACAGATGAGGTATTTTTAATTCCTGTTAATACCAATTCACTATGATTATTCAACAAATAAATTGACTTGCAATTTCTCAAGTCGCTCCTGACACACACACACAAAAAAACCCACAAAAAGATGCCTATACCAACCTTTAGTGGAATTTTGGGAGTAGGGTATAGAAATGAGGTGTAACGTACAAATAAATGTAGAGCACCACAACATCACATTGACAAAATACAATATAAGAAATTTGGAAGAATGGCAATACCTTTATTGACTCCAAAACAATAACAGTGTTGGTGCCAGCAGGTCTTTCTTATTAAATGCCTTAATTTTGACTATATTTTTCTTTTATGCCTTTAATTAAAAAGTGCTACTTCTAGTAACTGGAGCTCATACTTTTTAGATCTTCACATGGGAAAAGAGATTAGCAAATAACTAGACTGAGATGGGGAAAGTGCTGTCCACAGGCTCCTTCCCAAGGCTCGGTTAGTACCAATTTTGGGGCAAAATAGCTACTCATAATCTCTACATGTTTTGTAAGGTGTGATTGGCCATTTGTGGCTATAAAATGGGAATGGCTAAAAATGGAGGATGTGGTTTTTTGCAATCCTATGGCACGACCCCAATTTCTTATGGTTGCCTACTGTTGCAACTCAGGGTATCTTTCACCTTGCTCCAGACACTACCACACCAAAGCTGTAGGTTTTGTAGTTTATTGAGAAAAGGGCAAAATCAAAACAAAGTATAAGAAATGCAAAAGTTCCATAGGCAGGACAAAGGCTTAAATGCAAAGACAAACTTCCCAAGATCCAAAGGCAAAAACATGAAGCATAATCCTTTAGCAATGGTCAAACAAGAGTCCATGGTAAACAGTTGAAAACAAGGCCCAAATCTCAGACTCAGGAAGCCAGAAGCGTGCTGCTAAAAACCAAAGTTAATCCACAGAAGTTTGCATGGGAAGAGCTACGTTGGACTGACAACCCCTGCTTGTCAGCTACAAGGCTAAATACCCTTTGTAGACATGAACACATTGCGTTGACCTTTGGCACCCTTGGCTTCTCGCTTGCTAGCCAAGCGAGTGCTTCTCCAGAGCCTTAATTGCAGACGATCTTGTCTGCTTATTAATTCATTATCTTCAAGGCTATGTAACCCCTTATCTTGGTCCAGCTGGACCGGATCACTGTGGGGAGGAAAAGACGTCTCCACCTGGCCGTGTGGGAATTCACTCTCATTATCAGTCTCACTAACATTCCTTTCCCCTGGGAACCGACTTGCTGTTGTTTCTCCTTCGGCAGCCCCACCGTCAGCCCTGTCTGAAGCATGTACAGAAATCTGTAACCCATCCTCCTCATCATCATCCTGTAGGAATTCTGGCTCAGAAGGCCCAAAGAGCTCAGCTTCAGACTCAGAATCAAGCTGAGTCACAACACCTACCCTCAACTAGACCGATATAACAGTGTCCCCATTACAGAAGCAATTCAAGTTCCATTGTAACTGGTAGATTTTTTCTTTGGTCACTTGTTCTGCTGTTACTAACACCAAGCAGTCATTCCACACTTAAATATAGGGGTGAAATTAATTCTGTCATCTCTTATATACATGATACCTTGCTTGGAATTGGATGCCAGAATTTCTCTGACATTCTAGCCACCATGAGATGGAATGTCACAAGGCATAGATGAATGCATGAATGGAATTAGTTTGTTCACTGAAGTTGTTAAATCCCTAATTCCTATGGACTGCTGCCCAGCTAAAAGAAATCTGGCTTGGAAGAGAGAAGGGTGAGATATACTTACAGAGAAGGTTTGGGAAGGCTGCCCTAAGAAGAGAGGTGTAACATTCCATGTGCAAGCAGAAATTCACAACCCACCACAGTGACTTAGAATATTATAATCTTCCTCTAGCTATAATACGAGGCCTGAAAGAAATAGCAGCATCGTAGGCATGTGTGAGACAGAGCTGTGTAGTAGGACTAGAAATAGCTGACTAAAGGAAATATCAGGTCCTTGCAATGTAAGAGTGTATTTTGATAATATTCGAGCCATAGAAGAAAAGCAAGATAAGTTCATTTCATTTATGAACCCATCCCTTTCTCTCTGTGCTAATCTTACACTTCTCAGCTCAGAGACATCAAAGCCATATTTTCTTTTTAATACCAGTTGCTGTTTGCTCTTTATTTTAAATATATTTCCTCAGCCATACCTACAAGTTTTACATTTTTATGATGAAAATGCTCTAATGGTAGGAAGACCATTATTTGTACAGATAGTGAAAAAATAATTAAAATATACATTTCCCCTAAGAAATCAGATAAGGTTAGACGACTCTCAGTTTAAAAAACACTACAAAAAATAGCCTACTTGCAACTCTACTGAACTGAGTAGTGAATATCCAAACCACCTCTGTCCTTTGGATCCTTAGCTCCACTTTGCCACTATCAAGGCAGCATGCTGATGATGGCAATTGGGATCTTCCATGTCAGGCTGCAGTGAACCACTCTAGGATGTAGTCTCAACTTTAAGGAAGCTACAGCCAAAAGAGGCTAGGCACTTTAGAGAACTTATTTAAGGTTTGGACCAAAACTTACAATGGATTCACTGCTCCAATAATATGTGAGCCACCAATTGCCATTGCCTTCTGATACTAAGAGCACTGCTGTCACACTCATCATTAATAAAACTGTTGCTGAAATTCGCCAGTACTACAAAACATTTTCCTTAAATCTTTATTCTCAGAAAGAAAGGAGAGGATCTGGGCCTCGTGCCTCACAATGGTTCCCATTTCACAGGGACATTCCTTCTTAATCCTCTGCCATCCTGCTTTTCCAGCTACTTTTACAATGTCCTGGTTTCTCCCTCCTTATCACACTTGCCTACTTTGTATTTGTCTTACTTCAGTTGCGGCAAAGTGAGTTCAAAATGTAAAAATGTTCTTATGCAATTAACTCAGTGGTAAGGAAGTGAAGAGGAGAGGAGGTGCGGTGTGGAATCTTACCTTTCTCAATAGGTCTGGAGAAAAACAAAATGTCTCAGTGTTTCCTCGTTTCTGTGTTCTTTCTTCTGCCATCTTGACTACACTCTGATACTACTTGTCCATATGTGTTCCTGTTTTCATCTATGAAATTGTGAAAGCAATGGGCTCAGTCTTAGAGGATTCCATAGGGAGGAAAAAGTTTGACTTCCTCTTTCTATATGAGAGAGGCAGAGCCTAGTTGCCACCAAATTTTGGCATCAGGAGCAATTATTGCAGGAATATTAGGATGTGTCACCAAAAGCTGAAGGCAGCAGTGGTAATATCGTTCTCACTGAGAATAGTTCATTGTAATCCTACGTCTCTGGGAAGTTGCCCATATATAGGGTCAATGTTCTATTTTATAAGAAAACAGAAGACGGACTTTGCTTTCTTCTTCTGCCAAGATGAATGAGGCAGGCTTCATTAACTAGTCTGGAGGACTACAATACAAAGGATCTGTTTCTTGTGCACAAAATAGAATCGGGCATCTAGCCAAAGTTTCCCTTCTCTCTTTCGGCTTTGTTTTGTTTTGGCCACTGCTGCTCCTAGCGTGGCCAAATGCCACACTAGGAGGAATACAAGCTGGTCACGCAAAGAGTGCATTTCACCACCCAGGCAGCATTGTGATATTCTAAGCTGCCATTCCAAAATGCACTAAGATGCCAGGAAAGATGAAATGGAGGAAAGCCCTTCTGAAGGCAGAACCAAATTTGGACAAATCTAGTGCTGCCCTTCAAGCTGAAACAATCAGTTTTTAAAACTGAAAAGGAATGATAAGATCTTCCAAAGTGTTTTCTAACAGTATTAATCAAAAGGGCTTATGCAGTTGTTTAATTTCCCGTCTTTATTGATTTTGTATGATGTTAAAAAGATAAAGCAGTGGAGGAAGAATGCAGGAGAATTATAAGTGAAAAGTATTAACTGGGCCCACATAATTCTACAAATAAGGTGACAAGACGTACAACAACAACAAAAACTAATCTGGAAGCATCCTATATAAATAGTGATTATCCACTACCCTCTGCAAACAAGTTGAATATCCCTTATCTGAAATACTTAGGACCAAAGGTGTTTAAGATACCGATACCACCACCACCACCCCCCCCCCACCCACCCCCCACCCCCGCTGCCAATTTTGGAATAGCTCTATTTGCTTACTCATATATAATGAGATATTTTGGAGATTGGGCCCAAGTCTAGCGAACATATTCATTTATGTTTCATATATACCTTATGTATATAGCCTGAAAATTGTGATTTTATGCACAACATTTTAAATCATTTGTACTCAAAAGAAAGTCTGTATACATGGATACATCAGAAAGCAAATGTATCACTTTCTCGGCCACCCTATGTACAATTTTGAGCTGTGGAGCATTTCAGATTTTGGAAGTCTGGATAAGAGATGCTCCTTCTTTATACTATTCCTTCTCATAGTGATCCAGCTATTCCTAATCGCATTCATATCCAACCAAAATAGCATGTATAAGAAGATATGAACTGAGGATTATTGGGCTGGGAGAAGATGGGAAGGAAAACTAAGCAGAGAAAGGGTGGAATGGAATGGCTGCAGAACTCCATTTGTCACATCTATTGAGATGTAAGTCTTATGGTTTTGGATCAGCAATTGCACCACACGTGCACAAGAGCAAGGTATCTGAAGGCTCAAGAGTAGCCTAAAGTTGGCAAATGCATTAATTTTTTGGGGGGAAAGTGGTTTTCTAAGAAGGTGACCCATCTAACAGCTCCACAAAAAATCAGTTGGCCTCCTATCTGAAAGAGGGAGGAATAATGACATACATGACATTTTGTTTATTATTCTTTCTTTCAGTTTCTCTGCTGTGGGAAAAGGTCACCCTTTGGAGAAAAAAGTAATATTGAAAATGAGGTGTGCCAGTCAGAAATGATGGAATCAGCAAATGAGGTGATAATATGCTGTGCTAGGAGAAGTGATGTAAATCCTGGCTTTTATCACCTTCACATGCAAGGATGTACGGGGTATTTTCTTCCTTGCTGAAGGAAATAAAGATTTCTATGCAGGATTTTCTTACTATATACAGCTTGCAAAACATTTTGGGAAATCTTTCTGTGCATACCTGTGGTTTCAGTGCACACGCACAAATAAAAACAGTGCAAATTATACTACTTCCTGTACAGAGAAATCATGTGTATTTCTACACACGTCTTGAGAAAATGCATTGAAATCTCATTGCTCCACTCTCACGAAATATTATTTTTCCATCCCTTAGATGAGAAGTGATGCTTGTCATAGGATTAGAACAGCTGTCTGAGAACTATTTTTCAATGGCTTCCCTTTGTGGTGTCACTGTAACATTTAAAAGCCAGGCAGCATGAAGCCAATTGCCGATTGTATTGTCGAAGGCTTTTGTTTGGGTATTTGCCAAGCAGCTCTTACCTTGCCATGAACAAATGGCAAAGATGGTCTCAAAAGCTGGCTCTGTTGTTGTGGCTGGCATTGAGACCCTTCCAGGGAGGAGGCAGGAAGACATAGTTTTAATATTGCAGGAGGCTTATGGGATAATAAAACACTGGAGAAAATGGTTCCCAGACTGCTGCAATATATTACAGATGAAGGGTACTTGCAATTTGCTCTGACTCTTGGGAAGATTATTGATAGGAGCATCCTTGCCTTGGGCTTTTCTTGAATCTTTTCCATGATTGGTCTGAAAATCCTTTATTCAATTTTTGTATTCTACCTGCTTCCTTGTCAGGGAACGCTTGTACTCAATACAGACAAATGCATTGTATTAGTTGAAGGTCAAAGATGATATTTTTGGTGCTGTGAAATTATCATTCCCATCCTCCTCCCTCTTTAACATGAACAACGTGGCATACAAGAACACCACTAAAGACCAAAATAAGATGTTATGCACAACTCCTGCCAAAAGCAACCACCTCTGTTCTCCCTATCACAACAAACATTTTTAAAACAGGCTTTACCAAATGGCTATCCTTGGAGAAAATACATGCGCACACATTTAGGATCACTTGTAGAGTTCTTGATTTGACTGTTACAGAATGCCTTTCTCAGTTACATTTATCTTTAAAATGGATGCCCAGTAATTTACAAGAGCCATGCTGCTCAATTTATCATAGTATTAATCACGGATAATGGGGAAATGGGCCAAGACATGCCAGCACAGAATGAATATTTATCCTGTATTGCTGGTAGCAATGCTTGACTTTCACTTAAATTTAACCAACAAATTGAGAACTTCCATATATCCCTGGATGTGGAGGTCATTAACAACTGTTGTCATTAAAACAAAACAAAAAAATGACCCAGTTTGAAAGTGCGTATTTTTCAATCTTTACCTACTGATGCTTGAAAAATGTCTTAGCAAAAAAAGAACAGATTTTAACGGTTGCCAGCCATTTACCTGGAGGGTACATAGCCTTGAATTTTTGTAGATAATAGATTGTATATCTGCAGATATGGCTATGTACAGGATTTTGTGTATTATTTAACCATGATGCTCATTATATGCCTGTGGAAGAAAATGCTTGCTGTCTTAGTGTTTAGATACTGTACAGTGTAGTAACTGGCCAATACATTATGTAGTAATGCTATTTGAGAAGAACCATATACCTCTCCAAGTTGCACTTTCTGCATTAGCTGTAAAGAATGGGACTAAGAACCTTGAATCAAATGGCATGAAACTGCAAGGGAGTTTTGATTACTAGAAAATATTAATAACAACAACAGCAATAACAACTTTATTCTTGTCCCCGCCTCCATCTCCCCGAGGGGACTCAGGATGGCATATAGATGGCACACAGTGCCTAAAACAGAACATAAAATGAACCACAAAATACAAGTACAATAAAATAAAAACATATGGCACATAAAACAACAATTAAAAACAGTGCACAATAACCTATGTCAACAAGCTATCAAAGAACATGGCTGGATGTCTAGTGGTTTAAATTTTGAATGACACCCAAATGGCTTCCAAATTTCTGCTTGCTTTTCAAATGTCTGTGCTGATGCCAACAGACATTTATTCTGTTGGACTGTTACCTAGCTAACAAAAGATCAGTCTGATCTATATAATAAGTCAATTAGCCCATTTGTGAGACTTTCACCTAGCTAACAAAAGATATATAAAATGAGATTAGCCTTTGTACTAGGAATGGGCAACTTATGGCCTTCTAAGTCATGATAGACTGCAGTTCTCATCTTCTATCACCACTGACTTTGATGACTAGGGGTGCATCTACACTGTAGAATTAATGTAGTTTGACGCCACTTTAACCGCTATGACTCAATACTCTGGGATCATAGGTGTTGTTATCTTTAGCAACCTCTGCCAAAGGGTACCAATGCCTCACCAATACAACTCCCAGGATTCCATAGTACTGAAGCATGGCAGTTAAAGTGGTGTCAAACTGCAGTTGTTCTACAGTATAGATACATTCTAGAACTAATTGAAGATAGAGTGCAATAACGTCTGGGTAAATCTATGAGTTGTCCATTCCTCTACACAAAGTAATGAATGTGCAAGAATAAGTTGAACTCAGTGGCTTGTGAGGCCCTTTCCCACTCTGTCAGAAGTCTTGACATCCAAGTATCAGTACAGTGTTAATCAACAGTCCGAGCTCAAGCTGATAGTCCAACAGAATTATAAGCATTAGCAGGATAACACAATAGGGAAATCAAATGTCCATTCCATGGCTGTAAGCCAATTACTAGAGTGTCCAGAGTCCAAGGCTGAATCAGAATCCATAAACTGAGGTGCAAGGTAAATCCAGGGTTCAGGAAACACAAGATCATAGCTTCTAGAACTGATGTTTAAGCCAGCAACAAGGTGCCACCCATGAACTTCTTATATCCTAAGGTCACAAGTACTACCTGTTGCTGGCTCTCTTCTCAGCTAATCTCAAGGGCTTGTGCAGCGGACACTTCTCTCTTTGCAGTTCCATGAAAGCTGGAAGAGTTACCTCTTCCTTAGCCTGCTCAGAGGAACTCACTTGCACTTGTTCTGCAGGCTTAGAAGTAGTAGCTCCTTCAATGGGTGCTGCTTCAAAGCTTGGCTGAGGGAGCTGTTAGGCACTGTTGGGCTCCCACTCAACTACGGAGCCTTTCACCAGCATATCCTCATCCTCACTTTCCAAGCTATCAATGGCACACTCTATGGTTCTGATTCTCTTAAAATGGTGAGCTTATGGGAAGGCCATTGGCAGATTGCCAGTGTCTTGTCACTGTGACTGTAGGAAATCCAGCCTGGGTTTTAATTTAAAGGAACTATCCAGGACACTGAATCTATTTTAAGGATAATGCTCAGCAACAGGCATTGCTTCAGTAAAGGTTGGACCAAAACCTGGAATAGATTCACAACCTCACCAGACACCACTTGATCCCAAGTTGCATCCCAGCAGCTGGCATTCAGTGGCATGCTCCTTCCAAAGATGTAAGAAGCTGATATGGCTTTGAAATAGAAACAGAAACACAGAACCCAGTCATCTCTATGACTGTTTCCTCATTAATAAGTCCCATCATGTTACAGTCAGTACATAGGATTCCAGCTCTTGACCTTAAAGCTATTTATCTCATATTACAGGATTGCCTGCAGGAGATCCAGCGCTTCCTGAAAAAACACATGGAATTTGTCTCCATACTGATGACTATAACGGTTTTCTTAATGGTAAATATATATCTGCTTGTATCTTCCCATTTGTTCTGAATGGGTTGCAACAGAAATGTGCATTGGCATTATGGTGGCAGCAGAATTCTAATAAAGTTGCACCATTTTTTCAGGAAATATCCTTTTGAGGAGTAACAGGGAGAACATAGCAATTTGATGGAAAGAAAAGTAATGTTAGACAACCTAAATTTCATACTGTCTAAGATTTCACTTATGAAAAATGGGACACATTTGATGGAACAAAAGCACAGTGTGGTCAAGAATGCAAAAATTGTTGACAAACAACACACCAGTTGAGAAAAGCTGCATTAACTTGTTTTTGCTTAAGCTGACTGGAAAGAGCAAAATTCAACCCTCTTCATCCCCTCTTCCTTATGATTTGAGTACAAATTACTTTCATTCTATTAATTAAGTATGTACCAATGAGAGTAAAATGGGGACAAGGGGGAAAGTGGGAAGAGTGGAAAGAAACTGAGTCATTTCAAATGTGGCTGAAAGAGTAGAATAACAGAGGAATAATCAGAATTGTCACTAGCAAATGAGGGCAGTTGGAGAGTATGGGTTTCCTTGATGTAAGGTGTTCATGCTTCACATTTCATTGTCCATTATACTCTTGTGCTTTAAGAATAGGTGCAAGCTGTATTTCAGAGGAAGGTAATGGCAAATTACACTGAGTATTCCATGCCAATGAAAACCTATGAAATTCCAGAGGTCACCATAGATGGACAACTTGACGTACAGGGACACACACACACTGTTCAGCATAAAATGCAATCAAATTCCAAAAGAAGTTGGTAAGGAACAATAAAATTAAGTAAATGCTATAGAAATGGCCTTAAACTGACTTGCACCCTGTTCATTATTTGGACCCCACTAACAACCCTGTAGGGTAGAATATTAAGATTCCTCTCACACATAAGCCATAACCTTCAGCCAGCTGAGTGAGAAGGCCAAATGGAGATATGAGCTGATACAAACCCAGACACTCTCTCAATTAACCAAACTATTTGTGAACAGCTGAGCCTGGGGGCATTAGTAAGAGCTGAAATATTAAGGTAACAAAAAGTGATGTCATAATGCAGTTGTGAGCACTGGTTCTATCTTGAAGCAGAGTAGCAAGTCAGACCCCTGAAGTAAGACATGACAGCAAGTCAGGATCTTTTCCTGACTTTTAAAAAGAATTACACAAGCTATTATTTTTTTACATCTTTTTATCATAGAAAGTAGTTTCTATGAAGTTTTGGTATTTTTATTGGAGATTGGGGGAAAGTGAGTAAAGAAGAGGAGGATTAAATGCGCAGTATGTAAATGGAATACATATGGATATGTCTTGACAGAGGGAAGATATATGGATTTGTGTCAATAGGATATAGTTATAGATATAGATATACGGTATGTAAGTTGTATACAAATGTTGCTTTGGTCACATCCACCACTGATGTATATCATGTACCTTGATTACCCAAGGAAATCCAGTCTTTGGCTAAAAAGCTTTTACTAGCCATTGTGACTATATTTTTAAAATTTGAACATCCAAAAATCAAATATAAATATTCATAGGAATTAATGTCCCAGTGATGTTTCTCATTCCATTTTATCTATCTGCCTCAGGTGTATGGGATGATCTTAACTTCATTCCTCTGGTACTTTATCCACTTTAAGAACAGTTTGGATCGAAAGGGCAAATACATCCTGGCAAAGCAATAGAAGACTGGTTTTGCCTTCTCCGGCAGAGGAATGGCAATCGTTGTTGGACATCAAAATAAATTGGATTGTTTTTTCTGGAGCTGTGAGTGGACAATGGAAATCGATGAATTTTTTTTCCTTCAGTTTCCTTATTTTCTTTTCAAAATTCCAATTCCAAATATGGTTGAACTAACATGACACAGCCTTGAAGCAACTATAGACAAAGAGCTGACTGACGAAACTGCTCATTCACCGGGATTTCATAAACATGTAACACTGAGTGGAAACATGGAGGTAGGATATAAACCAGAAACCAAGAAGATGCCCAACCACAAATGTGTTTGCCAGCTGAAGCCATAATTTAGAGCCCTCAAAATAGCAAGTCAAAACAAACCACATGCCCCAAGGAAAAGAAAACTCAAGGAAATGGAAATTATTCAGCTCAGGAATCAGAATCTTTTTCTATCTACAGATTCTCTGTTTGTGTGTGCGTGCACATGCAAGTGGGTAGATGGGAAAGAGGGTGGGCTAGAGAAAGAAGAAAGAAAGAAAGAAAGAAAGAAAGAAAGAAAGAAAGAAAGAAAGAAAGAAGAAAAAGAGAGAACAGTGTATGATTCGTTTCAGCGACCTTCTAGCCGTTTCTGCTAATTGTGAACTTAAGGGGAAGCACAAGCCTTCCAGATGTTTTGGATTACAATTTACACAGTATTTTACCATTGACCATACTAGCTGGGTATTTCTAGGGTTGATGTCTAAAATATCAAGAAGGCCAAATTCACCCCCACCCAGTTTTAGAGTCTGTTTGCACTGTGTGTATATCTTCTTGGTTTTAAATAAATAAATTCTGAAATGGGAATAATCATTTGTATATTTTAAAAGCACACACACATCACAGCTGTGGGAAAAGAGTACTAATTTGTTGTATTAAGAGCCCAGCTCTTCTAAAGTTAGTCATGATTAATCCTAAACGTACTTGAAAGTAAATACTATCAATGTTATCCTGGTTGCACATTGTGACTCTTATCAGAAGCCTAACTCACCAAGATGACCAAGTAAAAGCAAACCTGACATTAGGTCAACTGAATTTGTACTGACTACTTCACCTCTCTGTCTTCTCTTCTCTAGGTTAAACATACATAGTTCCCTCATACATTACTCGTGGGACTTAATTTAAAGAACATCTTGTTTGCTCCCTTCTGGGAATTTCAGCTTGCCAATAAATTGTCGTGTTCAAATCTGGACATAGTACTTCAAGTGAACTCTGGCTAAGAGCAGAATTAACTATTTCTCTTAATCTGGACAAAAGGTAGGAATCATGCTGCCTTCCAGATGTTGAGCTGCAAATCCCACCATCCTTATCTGGCTGGGAATTGCAGTTCAGTGACATTTGGAGGACTGCGTGATTCTCACCCCTCATCTGTATTTCTATTGACACACATAGAATTGCACATTTTAAACTATTGCATCACACTGTTGACTAATGTTTCACTTGTGCTGTGCTAAGACCCATGAGATCCTTTCTACATTTACTGCTGTAGAGCAGGGAATTCCCATTCTATATTTGTGCATCTGATTTTTTCTAACTAAACACAGAACTTTACACTGATGAAATTATTTGCATTTGTTTCAGCCCAGTCCTCTAATCTAGTGTTTTCTCAAACTGTGCTCTTCCAGGTGTTTTGAACTTTAGCTACCAGAAATTCCAGCTAGTTTACCAGCTGATAGGAATTGTGGGGGCTAAAGTCCAAAACATCTGGAGGAGCACGATTTGAGAAACACTGCTCTAATCTTTCAAGTTCATAGCCTTTGTGGAGAGAAAAATCGGGGTATAAACAAATATAAACACAATTTTGTTGTTTATTTGTTCAGTCACTTCCGACTCTTCGTGACCTCATGGACCAGTCCATGCCATAGCTCCCTGTCGTCCGTTGCCACCCCCAGCTCCTTCAAGGTCAAGTTAGTCACTTCAAGGATTACATCAGTCAATCTTGCCCTTGAGTCGCCCCTCTTCCTTTTTCCTTCCCCCCCTCTTCCTTTTTCCTTCCATTTTCAACAGCATCATGATCTTCTCCATGCTTTCCTGTTTTCTCATTATGTACTTCATCTTTGCCTCTAATATCCTTCCCTCCAGTGAACAGTCAGGCTTTATTTCCTGTATTATTTCCAGTATTATTATTAATACTGAATTCCATCTCCCCCTTCCAAATTGGTATCCATTGCAAAATTAACGAGAATCCCCACTGGAGTTTGATCCAAGACATTTATAAAGATATTGAATAACATGGCCCAGAAAATGAAGTAAAAGAGAATCTTTGCTACTTTCACTCTTTCTTTATACAACCCTTTTCTCCCAAGTAGGATTCATATCTTGACTCATGGGTAGGCAGGAAAGTAGTGTGACGGAATAGGTCAGAAGACACCATATGTAGCTGCCATTGACTTCAACTGTACAACTCCTTAACCTGGAGAAGTTTATGACCTTAATTCTGAGATATGGCAATCATATTAAACAACACATTTTGCTACATGTTAGAAAAACTGGGCCTTCTTTTTCACTGGCAATGTTAATCTTCCATACAATGAAAAGAATGTTCACATTTCTCCAAGGACTCTTCCATGTTCTGAGTATTGCTGGATTACCAAGCATGGTAATACAGGTTCATTTTCCACTTCTGTGACAATATATTTTTTTGAGTGCTGCTAAAGGATTGTATTAATTGGCTGCCCACACTCCTACCCCAATTGAGGAGGTTTTATCCAGTATATGAGGAGATGGGGGCCAGTTCTCGGGCATTCTGCCTTGCAGCCACCTCAGGCTTGAGGAAAAGTTTTCTATGGCAAATTAAGAGAAGTCTTTAAGGTAAGTTGCTTTAAATTGGTCTCCTTCACCAACAAAAAGGCTTTGTTGGGTTAATGAGACCTCCCTTAGCTAAGGTCCACTAATCAAATTCAACCGCATAGCTCTATTCCCTTGCACAAACAATTTGAATTTGCCAGCACGGGAAATGTTTTCAGCATAGGTATAAGATTTCTAAAATGTCTCTGTTAAGAAAATTAGCTCTAAGCTGTTGTTGCTATTGTTTTAATTCCAAAAGCCAGATGGGAGGTCACAGGACCTTCCATCTCAAGTTCCATCTAAAATGAGAATGAAGTGCTCTTCTTTCTCCCCTTTATATATGCAGACAGTGTTGTTACGGTTGCTGAGGTATTAGCATAATGTGTGCTAGGCTGTAAATCTTCCCACACTACGAAGACATCAGCACAGCTGGCAATGGCTTTGCCAGAGGGACAAAAAGGACAAACAATATCTTTCTTGAGTCCTGTGCCAAACTTCCAGGTAAAATTATTGGGCTTAGAAGGAATATCTGTTGTTGTTTTTCACAGCCTCTGGCCATGTCCCTTCCCCACCACCACCACCAACATTATTGTCCAATAAGTTTTCTGAAACATAAAACAGAGTGATTAGAAAGCATTAGTTTCACAAGACTACAACTGACGTAAGTCCAACCTACTTGGGGGGGGGGGTTTGCACACTTTGGTACCATCACCGCATATGAACATGACTGTAACTAAGAAAGGTATGTTCTAACAAGAAGTGAAATTATAGCCATTTTAGTCTATGCTCTGATGAGTCAGAAAACCAGATGAGATTTCAAAATGTCACTGTCTTTCTTGTACTGCTGGTCAATCATTTCCAATTAACTTTCTCTAGAACTTGAAAAAATTACCTGTTCGGATGACAACTCCCAAGCCATGCCTGCTGGAGGATTCTAAATTGAGAAATAACTTTCTCAGGTTTGAGCATTTGCAATAATATCTAGTCCATTATTTGAATCTGATACTTCATCTCCACATCCCAGTAATGTAATGCTCAAGATCCTGCAAGGAAGACTCCAGCAATACATGGAGAGTTGCCAGATGTACAAGCTGGGTTTAGAAAAGGCAGAGGAATGAGATACCAAATTGCCAATATCTGCTGGATAATGGAGAAAGGCAGGGAGTTTCAGAAAAACATCTATTTCTGTTTTATTGACTATTCTAAAGCCTTTGACTGTGTGGATCATAATAAACTGTAGCAAGTTCTTGATGGTATGGGGATACCAAATCATATTGTCTGTCTCCTGAGGAATCTGTATAAGGACCAAGTAGCAACAGTAAGAACTGACCATGGAACAACAGACTGGTTCAAGATTGGGAAAGGCGTACAGCAGGGTTGTATACTTTCACCCAACCTATTCAACTTGTATGCAGAACACATCATGTGTGGGGCTTGACAAATGCAAAGCTGGGGTTAAAATCGCTGGAAGAAACATTAACCTTAGATGTGCAGATGATAACACTTTGATGGCCAAAAGCAAGGAGGAGCCGAGGAGCCTTCTAACCAAGGCAAAAGAAGAAAGTGCAAAAGCTGGGTTGCAGTTAAACTTAAAAAAAAAACACCAAGATTCTAGCAACTGGACTGATTGCAAACTGGCAAATACAGGGAAAAAATGTGGAGCAATGACAGACTTTGTACTTCTAGGTGCAAAGATTACTGCAGATGCAGACTGCAGCAGGAAATCAGAAGACATTTACTTCTTGGGAGGAGAACAATGACCAGCCTCGATAAAATAGTGAAGAGAAGAGACATCACACTGGCAACAAAGATCAGCATAGTTAAAGCAATGGTATTCCCCGTAGTAACCTACAGATGTGAGAGCCGGACCATAAGGAAGACTGAGCGAATGAAGATGGATGCATTTGAAGTGTAGTGTTGGAGGAAAATTCTGAGAGTGCCTTGGACTGCCAGAAGATCCAACCAGTCCATCCTCCAGGAAATAAAGCCCGACTGCTCATTGGAGGGAAGGATATTAGAGGCAAAGGTGAAGTACTTTGGCCACATCATTAAGAGACAGGAAAGCTTAGAGAAGACAATGGTGCTGGGGAAAATGGAAGGAAAAAGGAAAAGAGACTGACCAGGGGCAAGATGGATTGATGGTATCCTTGAAGTGACTGGCTTGACTCTGAAGGTGCTGGGGATGGTGACGGCTGACAGGGAGCTCTGGTGTGGGCTGGTCCATGAGGTCACGAAGAATCAGAAGCGACTGAACAAATAAACAACAACTTATTCTCCTTTGTTCACTAAATTCTGTGTTTGTTCTGCGTTTCTTGACAGCCCTTTGTTGTTGTTTATTTGTTCAGTCACTTCCATCTCTTTGTGTCCTCATGGACCAGGCTACGCCAGAGCTCCCTGTTAGCCGTGGCCACACCCCCCTCCCCAGCTCCTTCAAGTTCAAGCTAGTCACTTTAAGGATACCCTCCATCCATCTTGCCCTTGGTCGGCCCCTCTTCCTTTTTCCTTCCATTTTCCTCAACATCATTGTCTTCTCCAAGCATTCCTGTCTTCTCATTATGTGGCCAAAGTACTTAATCTTTGCCTCTAAAATCCTTCCCTCAAGTGAGCAGCTGGGCATTATTTCCTGGAGTATGTACTGATTTGATCTCCTTGTGGTCCAAGGCACTCTCAGAATTTTCCTCCAACACCACAGTACAAAGGCATCTATCTTCCTTCACTCAGCCTTCCTCA